GCGGAAACGCTTTGGAAGTCGCCTCACTCGCTAGAAAATCACCAAATCGCTACTCCAAGCACGAGATCTCCTCCTCAGGCATGACAAAAAATGCTAAGCGCAAATTCAAGGCCAGCACCTCTAGACAACTCACTACTCGAAGATTGTAACCAAAAGCTTGCCAAAAGGTGGGACATGAAGCCACACACTGACCGACACACGTGGATTTTAAGAATTTTGAAGCCTTCCAATTGCCGTTTTCGAATCTGTTTTGTCATATCCTTTCTGACTCGTTCGATTCAGGTACCTGTAGATTGGTTTTCAATACTTTCCAACAGGTTGTATATCTTTTGGGTTTGCTCTTTCACCTTATGAGGTTAGTTTGGTCAAGTTCCTATCCAATATTCATTTTTTCTAGCAAGTAATAATTTAGACAAAATTTACTTGGAGATAAAGGAGTTTTAGATGAATTTAAAACGTGAATGGAGTTAATCGTGTTCTTGTTGTTATGTTCTATCTAGTATATAGTTCAGTTATAAAAGATAATGTATAAAATTATTTATATAGAACCTTTTGATCAATATGGATATTTGGAGAAAATTTAAATTAGTTGAAATTCAATATTGCAAGTTTTTGTGGCTTATAAATTTTGTGAAGATGTTATTTGGGCTTAAGATTCTCTTTAAAGATATCATTTAATGTGATAGATATTATCAAATGAAATCAATATTAATTTTCGATATCTAAAAAGGTGAAAACAAGTGTTCCATTTAAAAGAAAAAAGAAGTCACATGGGCAACGTGATAATTCTCGTCCTTATAAAGTTGCTTTAGAGGATTTCAAAATAAATCTGTAGGATTTAAATGAGAAGATCACTATGTATAAAATAAAGATAAAAAGATAGAGAAAATCTAGAATCTTCAATCATGGGGGGGCCTAACATATCTAAAACTTCAATGGAACATGAACAAGAAAATAATAAAAGTTGCATGAGTTTACGACTAAGTAAAATCTTGTGCAAATGCCTACAGCCAAATAATCAAGAATTGTCTAATGGTATTGAATATATGCACACAAATGAGGTAATTGAGATAGTAGAAGATTATTTAAAAAAATTAAGAATGTAGAAGACATTGTAAATGAGGTTATTATTCATGTTGATCAAGTTAAATTTTTTAGTGATGAGTCTCTCAATTTAGTTGTAAGTAATGGTGTTGTTGAGTTTGAAAACAATGCTCTTTTTGTTGATCTTAACAAGAAAGAGACTCCACTTGACGATACTACTCCACATTCTTTAGCTCCTGACAATAATGAGTAAAGTGTGTTTATTCTTTCTTTTATTGATTTTATTTTTCCTAATTGGTTCATTATATCTTTAGAATACTTGATTTGGTAAGACTTCTTATTTTTTCATTATACTTTCAACTTATACAAGCTTTAATTCTTAGGAAGATAAGTTCCAACTTTGATTTTTTTTCACTCTCGACATTTTAGAACTCAATGTCAAGCTTTCTCCAAGTGGGGAGAATAATACAGAATATAACATACATATTTCTATGGTGATATATATTTATTTAAGTGTGATTTTATATATTATCAAGGTAGCTAGCTTATTTAGGTCCTTCTAACTATATGCTCATTTTAGTGTGAGTTTGTTATTTCCTATTTCATTAGGATGTTATTTAGTTATTTTTTCCATTACCGGTTACTTAATTATTTAGATCATTTTCCTATTTTTTAGATTTTCTATTTTGGTACCTACAAATAAGCTATCCTGGTTTAATTACTAAATAGACTATTCATGATTATTATTCAAATATTGAGATATTGCTTTGATCTTTGATATTGGAGATCTCCCTCTTTCTCTCTTTTTCTTCTGTTCTTCACCTTTAGCCCCTATTTCCCTATATATATCTCTTTCTTTTAGCCCCTATTTCCCTATATATATCTCTTTCTATTATCTTCCTCCATATTTTCTTCTTTTTCTCATTTTTTTAGAGTAAATGTGATTCTACTATAATTTGTCCTGCATCAAAAGGGCTTTAAACTTTTCTTTTTTAGCTTCAACTTCGTTCCCTCCCCATTGCTGTCCGTGGTTCCCTATTCAACATTTTCTTTCATATTATTGACTACCAATATTTTTAGCCAAGTGATGTCAACAATAGGCACTTGGCATTATGTGCCTTGGTCATGCAAGCACATTGTTTGGTTGGTAACGATGGTGAAGTGTCAAGTTAGATCCTCCCTTCATCTAGGCAAGGTGATAAACTTACAATTATTGACTGCCTTCAGTGATGCTTTCTTCTATCACATGCCTGCATATCTGATCTTTTGTCCCCCTAGATGCCTTGCGCTATATCTAGAAGGAGCTCTTCTGATTAATCAGTGAACCTAAAATTTTTGTTGCCAACAAAGATGCCGGATTGAAAGGTGAATAAATTTGCCTGATTTTGTTCAAGCCTATGTGGGTGTTTTATTAATATCAAAGCTAGATGGATACTTTAGGATGCACTGGGTTTTCATTGGAATCCATTGGGAAAGTAAAAATTCTTATAATCCATTAACGGAAAACTATTCATTAAAGAATAGTATAAAATTTATTAAAAATTGAATGGAGATAATACTTGCATATTATAATGTTTTCAATCCCAATCCTACAAAAACAATGATTATTGAAGAGGAAATCCAATACTAATAATTAGTATAATTCTTAATTAAATTGAAAAAATTGGAATAGATTTGGAATGTAAATCCTAACAAATTAGGACTATCGTTAAAATAGTATTTAACTATTAACCTACTTAGAGGAATTTAAATCAAAATAAATATCAATACTTTAAAAAATAATAATGATAATATTTCTGTAATTGTTCTCCGCATCAAGTAGAGGCTTTAGAATGCTAAAGAAAGTAAGAAGCAAATTGAGATGCGTATCTATCATATGTTTTGTCTATATGTGCAACATTTTCTTTTGGCTAGTTACTTGCTGGAAGTTTACAATGTATAATTTCTGGCTTATGAAGCAAATAAGCTTCTAGCTTTCTCTGGTGACTCCTTTGTTTCTTTTTGAACATGGTGCTTCTTGACCAATGTGCCTTACCAAATTCTTTCGTGCATTTCAGCAGATTCTAGTCTCAAGCTCCGATTCTGAAACCGAAGATGGAGTTGTCAGTCAAGCTGTTGTGGACTCCCTTTCGAAGCTAAAAGTTGAAGATAGTAAAGGTAGTAACTTTTGAGACTCTTTTTAATTGTTCAAGATGTTAACAGAAAATATTAAAGGGAGCATTAGTAACTTATGCTTTTAACTAATGTTATATTTTTGTATTATTAGGCCACAACCTAATATTTTGTAAGATTAGAATTGTATATCCTGTTGTCTTGTAAATAAGTAGCACATTGTGTTGAATAAAATCAACCACTAACCGTTTTTCATAATCGATCATGGTTTAGAGTCCAGACACGATTTTTTTTGTTTTTCTTTTTTGGCTGTTTCTCTTCATCGCTAATTGTTTTGGAAAAGTATTGTGTTCTCTCTCTTCTCAGTCACAAGCTTCATTCTCTTCCTATGCCAGATTGTCACTTTCTGTCCCTTCATCTTCTCAGCTGCAAGCTTCTGCCACTCTCCTACCGACGCAAAAAGTTATCTTCTCCTTCCTGCACCATCACTAATAGCCTGCATTTCTGTTCTTCCACTGCAGACTTGCTGTCTCTGCTTTTTGTTTTCTCTCTTTCCTGGCCCAAACTCTCAAGTCATATTCTCTATCCTGCGCAGTAGATGTCCTATGTTTCTCTCTTCCACTAAGATATGCTGCTTCTGCTTTCTGTTGTCTCTCTTCCCTGCCTTAGAATGCGCTCCAGTCATGATTCCTTCTCCAACACGGTTTGTTCTCTTTTTTTCTCTCCCCTGCCTCAAAGTCTTCGCCAAAGCTCTCTCTCTGTCTCTGTGCCCTTATATATATATATATAGTTTTGGTAGACCCTACTAGTTTACATATATATATATATATATATATATTTCTATATATATTGGTCTTTAAGACTGTTTAATTGATAAGTGGCTAAATGACTTTATTTCATATATTTCAAGATATTTAGACAAGATACATATACCTATTTAAGGTAGGTCAAGATACATGTACTTATTTTTAAAAATTTTCACATTAACTCAGCTACAAAATTTGCGTTCAGTTAGATAAATTTTTTTTTCCAATCACATTTAAATAAACCCTTGCATAGAAGGAAAATTGAACACCAATTAATATCCGATAACAACGTTGTTTTTTTGTTATATGGCAGAGGCTATAGCTTTTTCTATTCACGTGACACTGATATGGTATATACGATTTTACTTATTTATCCTGACAAATGATATTTTAAAATTAAAAATGTAATATAATTGTAATATTATATCCTACTGTGGTGTTTTTTTGTATATAAATTATAGACCCTTGCTTGTGAACTCTTCGGTATCAATTGGGTAATTGCTGATTCTATGAAGGATGAAATTTGGGTGTGGAACGACATTAGTGGCGTGAAGAGACATGTCCGTCTCATTCTCCTTGGTACTTTTGTTGGGCAGTGTGGAAAAAGAGAAACAAGAGGGTTTTTGAGGGGATGAAAGATGATTTTGATAGGGTAAAAGATAGATGGTTCTAAACCTTAAGTTTTTTTATTATGGATCATCATCTCACTTCAGTTGAGGACTTTGGGAATATTATTGATATTTTGATTAATATATAAATAACATTTTACATGGATTTGCACCCCCTAGGTGCATGTGAATGAATCATATATACTATTTTTATTTCAAAAGAGTATACTTTTAATATCAAAAAAGGAAACTTTATAGTATCTTCTTCTTAAGTAACTAACAATATCCAAATCTCTTCCAACGAAAAGCCAACCCCAAATCTACCAGCCATGACAACCCAACAATTTACCCAATTTGTGTAAATTGGGCATGGAGAAAGCATTTGATCATGTTAATTAGCAATTCCTTGACTACATGCTCCAGAGAATGGGGTTTTGGTAACAGGTGGAGAAAATGGGTCAATACCTGTATCACAACTATCAGCTTCGCTGTCTTGATTAATGGTGGACCTTTCTCCTTTTTTACTGCTACCAGAGGATTAAGACAAGGTGATCTTCTCTCCCCTCTTCTTTTTATCATTGTGATGGAGGCTTTGCACAAGCTTTTGGAGAGAGCTAAATCACTTAAGTTAATTAAAGGTCTGCCTGTAGGAAACAATGCAAATACTGTTGAGATTTCCCACTTGTTCTTTGTGGATGACATGCTTATTTTCTGTCAACCAAAGGCTCGATACCTCATATTTTTGAAATGCATTCTGCTGTGTTTACAGACGGTTTCTGGGCTTAAAATTAATATACAAAAATCTGAATTGGCTGAGTTGGGGAGCTGCGCCTCGGGGGACTCTTTCTGTGACATTCTCGGCTGTAAAAAATCTTGTCTTCCTATTTCTTACTTGGGTGTTCTGCTGGGATCTAAACATAATGATTCCAAATCTTGGGAGCCGGTGATAAATATATTTAACAGCAGATTAGCCACTTGGAATAGGAAATTCCTGTCAAAAGGTGGTAGATTAACACTCGTCAAAAACACTCTTTGTAATCTTCCTATTTATTACTTGTATGTTCTCAATATTCCTTCGAAAATAACCAAAAAATTGGAAGCCATCCAATGAGGCGATACTAATAACAGGAAAAAATATCACCTTGTTAAATGGTCGGATGTCAAGAAACCTTTGAGGATGGGTGGTTTGGGGTTGAGATCCTTAAACAAACTTAATAAGGCTTTGCTTGGTAAATGGATCTGGAGATATTAGAATGACAATGACAGCCTTTGGAAGATAGTTATCAATTGCAAGTGGTATAATGGCAATCCCCTTGATCTTTCATACATTAAGAATATAAATTATGGTTTGAGTCTCTGGAGGAATATTATAAACATGTATGGTTCAGTATTGGGTTGCACTAAATGGTCCATTGGTAACGGGATAAAATTCACTTTTGGTAAGATACATGGTGTGGTACTGAAAAACTCATGGACAGATTCCCTCTTATCTATGCCATTGCTAGGAACAAAGCTGTTACTGTAAGGGAAGCTGCTGGTTTTGATGGCAGCTTTTCATGGAATGTCCCAGTCCCAAGGAATCTTAATGATTGAGAGCTTGAACAATACGAATCTATACTTTTTACGTTGGCCAGTATCAATCTCACTAACAGAGACGGCAAATTATTGTGGAATCTCAAGAAAAACGGTCTCTTCTCTGTCGACTCACTGTTCTGTTTTTTAGATGGTCACCATCAGCATAGTCCAAGAACCTTTCTGGTGCTACCCCAAGGATTTCTTTCTTTGCATGGGAGGCAGCAAAGGAGAAGATCCTTACCTTTGACAACTTGATGAAAAGAGGTCATACAACTGCCAACATATGTTTTCTGTGTAAAAATGCTTTGGAATCTTGCAACCACCTTCTTTTGAGTTGCCTAATCGCACATAAACTCTGGAGTATGATTCTTGGACTGTTGGGAACTTCTTCGGTCAATGGCCTGGGAGGGTCTTGGCAGCAACAATAAATCCATTAGACTCATTCCCCTCACCATTTTTTAGGTCATTTGGAAGGAAAGAAACAAAAGGGTTTTTGATGGAGTCGAGTTCAATTTCAACAAAATCATGGATAACTGGTTTCACTACTTTGATTCTAACTTATTTTGGCGTAACCTCGACTATTTTGAAGATCTTGGTGACATTGTAGATATTCTAATTGAGATGTAAATTTTGTACATGGGTGGTGCTCCCTTTGCACCTTACATCTATACAACTTCACACTTTTCTTTCAAAAAAAAAAATTATCTCTGCATGTCTTGCCAACTGGTTTCTCACACCAAGCCGTCGGCCTTCTTCCTCTTTCTCCTCCACTTCCTCCTCCTCCTCCTTCTCCTCCTTCTCCTCCTTTTCTTCTTCGTGCAAACCTTGTCAGCCTGACTCTCTTTTGCAAAGAGAGCAGGGGAGGAGATAGATCAAATCAAGAAGAGATAATGTCGAGACAGCAAGAGAGGATCCAACAGTGGATTTCTGTGGAAACTTGGTTCTGCTCCTTGAGATGAGAATCAAACAATGGTTTGATGTAATTAATATTTGGGAGGAGAACAGATGGGTGTTGGGAGATGAGAAATGTAAGAGAAATTCAGCAAATACTGGGTGTTTGGAGAGGAGAGAAATAAAAGGAAGAGGAGAAATTTCTGGTTAAGCTTGGGCAGTGCAGTTCTTTACTATGCTATTGTGTTTCTGCTGCTGGTGTCTGTTTCTTATTTGCTTTATGTGGTCTACCATCTTCTGGTGATAGTTTCTCAGCTTGAATGATGAACTTGCATTTTGGTTGCTACAACTCTTTTTCCCCAGCTACTTTCATGGTCATTTTAGTCGGATTATGTATCTGTTTAAATTGAAGGTGTTAGTCTGCCAAAAATGTTCTAGCATTTGTTTGCTTCTGATTTAGTTTATTTCTGATTTCATGTACTTCATTTGCTTGCTTCCAGTTTTGTTTGTTTATGATATAGTGCCTTATCTATTTAAAAACTCTGCTTTAATCATAAATAAACTCTCATTTATTTCTTAGTGAAAAGAAGGTTATGCAGAAGACGATGAATTTATGTAAAACAATAGAAATATTCTATTTTTCAAGTTTTTTAGTAATTTCAAATATTATTATTAAAAAATAGAGGATATAAATGTAAATAGCACATGGAAGCCACATGCATAAAAAGCGAACTTCATCTACTAGTCTGCAAAAATAACTATGTTAGTAATTCACAGATGGGCATCCATTTTTCTGTCTGTGCAACAGTTTATTTGAACACGACCAAAAAGTTTTGCTCCTAATTGGATGCAAATTTTGTACAAGAACCAATCTGGAAAAGGGTTATTTACTAATTAGCCTTTCTACCTTTCTTTTGGTTAATTCTCTAGTCAAGGTCGAGAACTTGTATTTTAGGAGATTTTTTCTTCTTTCTTTTTTGAATTTTAACTTAAATGCTTGGACAAATGATATCAAAAATATATTCTTTAAATTCATAATGAAGGGCTATCGAAGACAGATTGCTAAAACAGTGGAAAGATAAAGTATATTCTTATCTAGCACAACACCTTTGATGTTTAAATTACATATAAAATGAGGTAGGATGAGTAAGGGTGGATGGTATAAGATGAGATGACTTTATATCGTGAAAGAATGAGTTTATATAGGGATTGTGGGATCAAGTTGACCTAATATGTCATGAGTATTTTGCTGGTGCTACTTATATCAAGTGGCAAGTGAGGAGTCTTGCTTGGAAGTTTGGTTGTCACCAATGGCCAAACTAGGGCATATCATCTTCAAAGAGCCGATAGCTTTTTGCTTTTGGTGAGGCCTTAGTGAACAAACTGAAGGAACTTTGTCATGGTCCGTCCTCAGGCGTACCAAGTCAAGAATTGCCCATCGCACATGAGGTCGCTTTGGTGATTCCCTTTTTCCTTGTGAGGTGTCAACCAGTCAACATACTTGCATATGTCAACCAGCTTTTAGGCAACCACGAACAAAGATACAAACCATGCATTTTCATAAAATGCCCAGTCAACTCAGACTCCAGGGGTACTGTGGGAGTTCAAAGTCCAGGAACCAGGACTCTAAATATGTGCACTTCTCAAGGATTCTCAATCAGATGTCATATTTGGCTTTTAAAAGATTAAATAATTGCATTTAATAAATTCAAATAATGTTGACCCCAACGTTTTCATAAAATTAATATTTGATTGTCAATAGGACTAAATATGTAATTTCAACAATTTCATTTCGACTTATGGAACTTCAAATTGAAAAACAGATCCAGGGGCTGCTGTTTCTACACATTGGAGATCTGAGCTTTCAAGGGTTGACATTTGGTACGCCGCTTTTGGATCAATATGTGGAAATCAAGACTCCTATGCTATCTTGAAGGTGGACAGGTAATTCAGTTATTTCATCATAGTAATTAGATAAAATGCTGAATATTGCTGTGGAACTACAATTCCTTTCATCTTTTTCCCCCTTCTATTTTACAGCTTTTGATTATCACTTTTAACAATGTTCTATGGTATACGTTAGATCCAGGGTTGTCAATTTGTGCAGTCATTTCTCTTTTATTTAGTTGCTGAAGCTTGAACTGAAGTGGGAACCCATTTTGGTTAGCTCTAGGATAATTCTCATCTACCAGTTCATTTTCTATGATGACTGCCTTCGAGCTGTGACTTTCCATGTGATCCATAAAATTTCAAATCATTTCACATCACACTTTTTTGTGTTTCCACTGAAGGCCTGTTTTCTTGGGGTGGCAATTCAGTGTCATTTTGTCAAACATGGGAAATTAAGGGGAGCAAGAAAAAACAAATTGATCTCTGAACATGTTAACTAATTGTCCCAACAAATAGGTGGGTAATTCCCTATGGTTACTAGGACTAGTTATGGATGAAATTATAGATGAGATACGCATGGTTCCACTTGTGATAAAATTAGAGGGTGGTAAGTGCTTGCCAACCCTATGGTTATGTTGTTTTGGTCCCACGTGGATTGGAAAATTTTCTCCTTTTTCTGTTTTTCGATCCATTATGCTACATTACCTGTAAGGTAATGCTATATGGAGAAGGTGGAAGAGCTCAAATTCTGCGAGAATGGATGGGGATTCAGATCAAGATTGTAATTTGAGAAGAAGAGATAGATTGGTTCATAGGTTGCCTCAAGGAGTTTTGATGGGAAGAGGGAAAAGCTTCTTGGTTGAGAAGCGTGGTGGACAAAAGTGCCGTTTATGGGTGGCAGTGGGTGAAAGTGTTAAGAGAAAATTCCTGGTGCTCAGGGAAAAGAAGGGAAAAGGGAGAAGAATTGTTCTCCTAAAAGGGCCGCAGGTTGAGGTCGCTGGCGAGTCTAGGAGAGCTGTTAGGAAAACCATTCAAAACTGCAATTGTTAAGGCGAATTGTGTTCTAGAAAATTAGGAGGTGCAACCTCCATTAAAGTAGGAAGAACCCATTTGCATTTTTCTTGTCCTAGCTGCAAGGCAGTGATTTATGCAAATTTTGAGGAAGGCAATGAAATCATATATGAAGGTGGTGAGTTGGTCTAGATGATGGTCAAAGGCAAGTGGGGATGACAAGATCCAACTCAGGCTCGAGCAGGTTGAATTTCAAGTTCAAAAATGAATTTCCTCAAATCAGGTTGTGACCAAGGAAAAGAAGCCTTTTGGGCCGAGTCCATGTAGTTCTTTCAATGTCAGTTTGGGTTAATATACCACAAGAAGATTTACAGTTTCGGAGAAAGGTTAATGGGCTCGGGTTTATAGACCCAGATGCAAATGGAGGAAGAAGCCCACTAACGAGGTTGTGGAATCAAAGGGTATTGTGATGTTCTTCTGAAATCCAATTGCACGAGATAGGATCCTACATTTTATTTTCAAAATATATGGTTGATTCATGCTGCTTTCAATAAGAACATCAAAGAGCAGGTGGCTAGAGAGTCTCTGAATGGTTGGGGCAGTCTTAAGTTTATGAATAAACTTTAAGTGGAGACTTCTTGGACTTGATCATTTTTCATCACTTTCTTGAAGTGCAGTTTGGAAGTGATTAAGGGGGATCTGGTCAAGGTTCTTAAGGAATTTCGCCTTAGTAGTAACTTGGTAATAGCATAAACTGGAATTTATACAGTGGTCCCTTGAGAAGACTGTTTCTCACAGATTTCTGATTAAATACTTGTCAGTCTAATCACGAGCTTTTATAAGATTGCTAAAAAGTTCTTTTTCTTGGGTTGACTAAGGAGCTCAATGAGATTATCTCTCACAACCCGAGTGCTTTTGTTGGGCGAAAGCAGATTCCTTACACTTCTCTTGTTAA